TATCTTCTTGAGAAAGAACATTGGTAAAATCTAAAAACTGAGACAAAATGATGTCTGAGCACTCAGAAATAAATTGCACAACCAAATCACATTTCTAAACAGCATTTCAGAGAAGAAATTCTAACAATGATTTTTCTTTTCATTCAATGGTAATGGAAAATTCAAAGCAGCAAATTTAAAAAGGGTGAGAGGTTACTACAAGCAGAAAAATTACAGCAGTCTGGCAATTAGGAAGAGAACAGAGAAGAAAGCCTACTGTGAGAAGACCTAAATATGCAAAGTGCAAAATATTTCAGGTTAATGTTAGCAAAAACTTCCTTAAGGGCCAACATAAAGTGTATATGTTCATTTTTATGTTATATCTAAGAAGAATCATTGACAATTACAGTGATAGCTTTTTGTTAATTTTAAATTGCAGTAAAAAATGTAAATTTTATTCAGAGGGCTACAGGAAGACATGTCAGTAACACAATTTAGTTACACTTTGGTCAAAATAGCTATTTTTTAAAGTGCTGATACATGAAAAATTGTTTTTCATGAGTGTAGGCACTAGAGTGAAAATTAAATTTGTTTCTCACTTTTTCCACTTAATCATGGTATATTTTTGAGAGATTTTCTGAACATCACAGAGACTCTGGTTTCTCATCTGTACCTAATAACTGCACTTATCCAGTTAATGTGAATAAATGGTCCCAATAAAATGTCTATCATATTACTTAGTACATTCATCTTGAATATTTATTATCATTATACATTAATTTTCATTCCAGACTCTGGAAATTTTATTTTAGTAATATAGTCACCAAGTGACTACATTATTTTTATTATTTTATTATTGAACTTATTTATAAATATACATAATTATAAATGTATATATAATTCTTAATAAAATTATTTAATTTATTATATTATATTTTACTTAATCATTTTTTACGGTAAATATTTAGGTGATTACATCTTTTTTCTCATTCTTGAGAATGTTAAGATTATATTAGATGTTATATATCTTTGAAGAACATGTAGGAGTTTGACTATTCGTTAGGTTTTTTTAATGAAGTGGAATATGGCAAATTTCATATAGTATTAATTTTAATGTCAATGAAGCAATGGAAAATCAAAACAGCATTGTAGACTAAAGGTATCGAGAGGGTAATACAGTGTATAGAAAAGAAGTATAGTCACAAAGAATGTTTCTGATTTATGTTTTTCAGGTACATCTAGTTCTTCTATTTGTCTACCTACAGTTGGTACACTCATAACATTTTAATTTATTTCATGTGTTGTCATAGTTGTCCTCTGTATTGTTCTGGGAAAGAAAATGCTATCTGTTTGTGAAAAAGAAGATGAGTGAAACAGGGCTAGTTTCAATTATTAAAAAAAGAAGTTCTGAGGGCTCTGGCAAAATCCATCATGAAAATAGTTGTTCTGAAAAAACTCTTTTCCACATGCTTGGCAATTCCCGCAGTGAAGGATATATCCTGTTAAAGTGATAGTTCACTCTGGAGTAGTATAAAGGCAGGCTGTTAGTTATCATTAATGTTTATGGCAAATTGAGTTTAAGAATCTTTACTGAGGACAGATTTTTGCATGGGAGAATATGGACCACAGACAACTGGTGGGAGGAAGTTCATTGAGCGGTAAAAAGGTAGAGATTGGAAGGAGATTTTTCAAAGAGACTATTGCAGTAGTCAAGATGAGAACTGATGGTGGCCTGGACTAGAGTAGCAGCAAAGGGGACTGAGGGATTAAGGACACATTTAGGATGGCAAGATTTGCTGAAGAAATTAGTTGTGGTAAAAGCAAAATGTAAGAATTTTCCTGATGATTGTATGTTTTTGGCGTTAGATAAAGAAAACGTTTACAAATATGGGAAAGGTTAGAGGAAGAACAAACTTTGGAAAAAGAAACCAGAGCTCAATTTTGAACATGTTAATTTTGAAATGCCTATTTTACATCCAAGGGAATATGTTAATTAAGTATCTCTATACATGAATCTGAAATGTATGGAACATATAAGGACCAGTGGTATAAATTTTAGTGAATATAGTCTCCAAGGGGACAAATCATAAGTAATGACCCTCACTATTATAGAGTGGAAATAATATGCAAGCCCTGTAATTGGAGTATTTTTATGCCCAACTAAGCATTTGAAAATCAAGCTCAAGAGAATCTGAATCTGAATCTCCCAATTTTTACTGATAGCTTACTCTTACTATGTACTGCCATGAGGGGGAGTGTTTGGGCTGTATTCTGTGACCTTGAAGTATAGTGACATTAATGTCTAGGTACATATACCTAGAAGTCTAGGGTCAGAATATGTGTGAACCAAGACTTCATTTGAGACAGCCTCACGTGAAGAATGTAATGAGCCATTCTCTTCTCGCACAGAGGTAATTGGCAGGCTTGTGAATTTGTTAATGTCATTTTGTACACTTCAAATTTAAGATTCAACCTTCCAAATTAAATCATGCATTTGGTAGCAGCAATTATCATTTTAGAAATACATGAAAACAATGATTTGGTTAAATATATAATTCAATTTCATGAATTATTGATTTCAAATGAGGTTATATTAATATTAATGTCTTTGAATGTTTCTATTCATTCCCTTATTCAGGTCCCCTCTCATCATCACCAATTGAACGGTTGCTTTGATTTGCATTTTTTTGGATTATTAGTAAGTACGAGCATGTATTCATATATTTGTTAGCCATTCAAGTTTCCCCTTCTGTGAAGTTCGTGTCTACATCTTCAAGTAATGTCTGGTTGGCTGTTTATATTTGCAGAATTTTTTTTTTTTTTTTTTGAAAAAGACTTTTTCTTTCTCCACCCAGGCTGGAATGCAATGGTGCAATTTCTGCTCACTGCAACCTCCGCTTGCCTGGTTCAAGCAATTGTTCCTGCCGCAGCCTCCCAAGTTGCTGTGATTACAGGCATCAGATACCATGCCCACCTAATTTTTTAATATTTTATTGAGACGAGGTTTCACCTTGTTGAGGAGGTTGGTCTCAAACTCCTGACCTCAGGTGACACACCCACCTCAGCCTCCCAAAGTGCTGGGATTACAGGCGTGAGCTAGAAATTTCTGCCCAGCCAGAAATATAACTCTTAATGTAACAAAAGAATATTTAGCCTAATGAAAGATAAGATAGAAGAAAATATACCAAAATAAAAAATAAAAACTTTAAAAGTCCTATTATATCAGTAATCACAAAACACAAATAGGCTAAAGCTGGGTGCAGTGGCTCACACCTGTAATCCCAGTGCTTTGGGAGGCCAAGGTGGCAGGCTTTTTTTTCCAAGTGTGCAGTTAATATCTCTCTAATAGAGAAAGTTTCTTGGGCCGGGCGCGGTGGCTCACGCCTGTAATCCCAGCACTTTGGGAGGCCGAAGCGGGTGGATCACGAGATCAAGAGATCAAGACCATCCTGGTCAACGCGCGTCTCTACTAAAACTACAAAAAATTAGCTGGGCATGGTGGCGCGTGCCTGTAATCCCAGCTACTCAGGAGGCTGAGGCAGGAGAATTGCCTGAACCCAGGAGGCCGAGGTTTCGGTGAGCCGAGATCGCGCCATTGCATTCCAGCCTGGGTAAAAAGAGCGAAACTCCGTCTCAAAAAAAAAAAAAAAGTTTCTTTAATAAGAAAGGTTAAAAATAAAGTGATAGAAAAATATACGGCAAAAAATAGAATGATGTACATATGCTTATGAAAAGACATGTATAAGAATGTTTATAGCACCACTATGAAAAATGCCTCCAATTTGAAAAACAAAGAAATGTTTATTAACAGAAGAATAGATAAATAGATTGTAATACACAGTATTTATAGAATAGAATACTATACATCAGTGAGAATGAATAAGCCACACTACAGGCAATAACATGGATGGATATTTAAAATCTACTGTTGAGTGAAAAACCCAGATATGAGTGAGGACATATGCTCTGATGTCATTGATATAAAATTCAAAATCGGGTGAGCCTAGTCTACGGTGCTAGAAGTAGGAGAATAGGTCAGGTGCAGTGGTTCATGCCTGTAATCCCACTGCTTTGGGAGGTGGAGGCAGGAGGATCATTTGAGGCTAGAAATTCCAGATCAGCCAGGGCAACATAGCAAGACCACATGTCTAAAAAAAAAAAAAAAAAAAAATGAAATAGTTGGACATAATGGCTGCACATCTATCGTTCTAGCTACTACTATAGAGGCTGAGGTGAGAGGATCCCTTGAGCCCAGGAATGAGTTGTGACCGCACTGCTTGCACTCTCCCGTGGACAACAGAGCGAGACCTTATCTGTAAAAAGAAGGAAAAACAAAACCCCAGAACTTCGTCCCAGCTTCTTATGAGAGGGTGGTGGTAGTAAAACACAAAAGGCTTCAGGAGATGAACATTTGATGATTTGTTTGTCTTTTTTGTTTGTTTTTAGAGCCAATAACTCTGGAACTTTTTAAAAAGAGGAGGAGGAGGAAGAGGAGGAGGAGGAGGAGGAGGAGGAGAAGAAAGAAAAAGAAAAAAGAATCCTCATCATTAATGCAAATGGGAGGAAACTTCACTAAAGAATCGATTACATCATGAAAGGTGAAATCATTACGGAATTACTGCTTAAATACATAATTTGTATCTGGATTTAAAAATAATAAATGTAAGTTTTTTCTTAAAAAAAAACTATTGGTTAAATTCAGCTTGAATCCTTTGCCACTACATCAAAAGCTAACAGTATAACAATTCATCTCCACAACCTCCTACCTCATTTCCTTTCGCAGTCCAGTTAACAGGAAAATGGAAGAAAAAAATGATTTCCCCCCCGCCCCCCGCCCCAAACACAGTCTCAGTTTCCCTAGCGGTCACCTCTGAAAAGGGAAAAATATCTGAAAATAGACAAAGGTGAATACAAACGTCACTTAATTGCCCCCACACAGACAGCCTCCGCTTCTGGAAGGGCGCGGGAAAAGGAGAGTGGAAGAAGGGACTAGGGAGGAGTAAGACGTGGGACGGCGAGGGCACAGGTGACGTTCTCCGCCGTCAGCGTTCCAGGCACACAGAGTTCCAGGCACACAGCCGCAGTCGGCCACGCGCGCCTCCGGGAGCGAGGATGCCGAGGCCGGTGAGCGGGGACGGGGCTTGGGAATGAGGGCGCAGGGTGGGCGATGCCGACGGAGGTCCTGCGGCTGGCGGCGAGTGGGGGGCGCGGGGCTTCGGCTCTCGCCACAATCAGGTCCGGGGACTTGATCTGTGGTGTTGATGGCAGCGCTTGTCTCTAAGCGCTATCCCCTGCTGAGGTGCGGATTTTGCCTTCCAAAGGGTGGTTTACGGGCCGCTGCTGGCGTTGGGGGTTCTCCGTTCCAATTCCCTGACAAAAAGATGCATAGGCTGGGGGGCTCCGGGGGCGCCTGTTACGAGCTCGCGAGGCTGGCGCATCCCCCTGCAGGCTCACGGCTCGGCTCTCGGGCTCCAGCTCCCAAAGCTGGGGAGGCACCCCCTATTTTAAACTGCCCCCAAAAGGGAATGAGGAATGCTGCGTTGGTTCGTGCTAACACCAAAAGCTGCGGCGGGGATGCAGATTTCCAGGCTCGCTCTCTCCGGGAGAGCTCCTGCGTCTTCTCTTTGTTACTCAGCCCCTTTCTCCCTCCTAGCCCTTGCCTGGGGGAAGCCATGAATTGAAGAGGGTTAACTCTGAAGTCTCGCTTGAGAGAACTGAAATGCTCTGTGATCGAGATGCTTTGAAGGGTTAACCCAGGGTATCCAGAGAAACAGACATTTTGTTTATTCGGAACCAGCTTACAAGACAAAAAGACGGAGAAGGTTTTCATATACCCCATTGGTATTTGAAATAAAAATCCAAATGCAATGAATGCCTCAAGATGATGTTTTCGTGTATGGTTTGCTGGCAAGACCGCACAGCCAGTGATTTCACTGTCTTTCTTAACAAAGGAGAATGGTGGTCTGTGAGCTAGGGTCTACTGCAAGCTAGATGCGCTTAATCTTCTTTATAACTATCCTTCTAACAAGGAATTATTACCTGGTTTTACAAATAAACAGGCGGAAGGCTAATATTTACAAGTCCATGTGACTACATGTGGGGTGATGTGGATTTGGACATAGTAACTTGCTGAGGAAGAGGCATGGATAGGGGCAATATAGCTGCCAGCTGGGCAGCGTCAGGTAAGACCCAGGCTTTTGTGAACCCTGGACTGCATGGCAAGGGTTATAAATGGGCTTCTTTGTTTTCATGACTGTAGTTCCCTTATATGATTTGATCAATTAAATTTTTTTAGCTGCCTAACACGTGTTGGCTTTTACTATAAGCTGGGCTCTATACTAATTGCTTTAATTAATGTTTGTGAAACACCTGTTATTTGGAATTGGTTTGGCACTTCCTCTTTATATTGCCCTCATTAAGTTTAGGTCATGGCTGTCTCCCAAGGAAAGAAAAGGGCATGTATTGACCAGAATTAAAATGAAGAAACCCATTGAGTAGGAGGATATTAGAATTGAGTGGCTCCCATTAGACAGGAAAAGTAAGAGAAATCCTTATGGCAGATAAAGGAGGAGAGATTTAGATCCTTGAGAACTCTATTTCCCCACCCACCGCTCCCAAGCCCACAAAAGGAAGGATACCACAAGACAATAAAAATCCCAGAGAAACTGAAGGGCACACAGAAAGACCCAGCTTACAGTGATAAGGAAAATGAATTCTAGCAGGGAAGTCATTGTATCTAAAAGGAATGGCAAAAACAGGGCTTAGTTAAGGAAAACACTGAGAACGAGGGGATGGGATTCCTACAGGTAGAATATCACCCTTTAACTATCATCCTGAACCTAAACCAATGTCATTTAAATTATTATGGTTCAATATTCTAGAAATAAGCTTCAAATTATAGTAGCAACAGGTGGGGCTAAACAGGAGCCAATAAGAGCATATAACTTCAGAATGGGACGCCCATGATGGGTTTACTAAGGAAAAGGCGGTCAGGACATCCCGCTAAAGCAACAGGATTTAGTGGTTATTGAGGTTCTTAGGGGCAATGAGACAGGCACAGAGAGGCCACCACTTTACAGAAGACTATGTTCATACTGCTAAATACCATAAAAGAATAGACAGAGTCAAATAAGAGATTGTTGCTAACAAAACAAGCAGCCAATGTCCCAACCTCAGGAATTTAACACAGTCTGAGAAAAAATAGTAGTTTCAAAATTGTCAGGTCTGCTTCAGTGTTATATTTTTTTTCCACTGACAAGAGAGAATGAAAGACTGGCAGCTGGGGGGAGTGGCGGGGGATGGGAGTGTGTTGACGGGTAGTAGGCATGCTGGAAACAGTGTCTCAGGGTGTGGGGTATATGGTGAATATACTTGGGAGGTAGTCATCTTCTCTCAAACTGGAATGCAGATGGATGTTTTCAGACAAGCTCTGGAAGCTGTGGTGTGGTGGACAAAGGTAGATAGGATCCCTTTGGCACTGGAGGAAGATGCTTGAATCTTCTTGGAGCACTAAAAGTTCCAAAAGACCTAAGGAGAAAGTGCTTCAGAAGAGGCGGATCATTGTATAGCGACATGACTGTAATCAGGCTCGTAAAAGTAAGACCTTATATAAATACAAGTGAGGAGGAAGACATTCCACATAGGAGGAATGGCTTAAGCAACAATACCAAGGCAGGAAATTGTGTGGTGCATTTAGAAGTAGAAAAGGCCAGCTGGCAGAGAGGGGACACATAGGAAGGTAGTGGAAATTAATTTGCAAGAATGAAAATAGGCTAAGCACTTTGAACAGTTTTCTCTAGATAGCAAGGGGCTGTAGAAGATTGTTAAGGGGATGGCAACTTGTGCAAAGGGGAATTTAAGGAAAATTAATCTGTCAATAGTGTGTAAATACATAAGCTGGATAGTAAACTTAACTAAGTTAGGGATTATATCTCCGTTATCCACCATTGTCTCCAAAGCGCCTACCATAGTGCCTGGAATGAAGTCAGACCCAATTAAGATGATTAGTATTAGAATCAACGAAAGAAGTACAGTTGTCCCTCGGTATCCACGGGGGCTTTGTTCCAAGACCCTCACTGATACCAATGGGTGGATGGTGCAAGTCCCTTATATAAAATGCCATAACGTTTGCGTATAAGCTATGCATGTCCTCCCATACAAATAAACTAATCTCTCCATTATTTATAATTCCTAATACAATGTAGATTCTATATAAATAGTTCTTATGCTGTATTATTTAGACAATAATGACAAAGATCTGTATTTGTTCAGTGCAGATGCTTTTTAAAAAATATATATTTTCCATCTGTGGTTACCTGAATCCATGGATACAGAACCCGCAGGTATAGTGGCTCGGCTATATTAGCAGAAGTTCAGTTCCAGTGAAAGACAAGACTACTGCACAATGCACCCATGTTATGAGCTGAGACTAGGGTAGTAAGGGACAAACACTTCACATGCGAGAAGTTAATGTGTATAGTGACTAATTATATATCTAGGTAGGGGAAAAGCAAGACATCCTGAATGACTTGAGTGCCTGAGAGATAAAAGTCCAAAAGAGAAGCTCTTCCGGGTAAAATGATGATTAATTTGATGTTATTCATAGATTTAATTATTCACCATTTGTTCCTTTCTTTTATTCAACTGAAAGCATAAATAAAAGAACAGATGCAGGAAATAGCTTGTTGATTTTGAGTCATTGAAAGAATGGTGAAATGGAGTTTGTTATGCAAGGTGGAAAGCACAGTGACAGGAGATTGGATAACATGTTTGTAGGGACTGAGTGGCAGGTTGTGACAGAAAGGGTCACGCTGTATTACCAGCAGAGCTTCTAGACAGTGGCTCATTGGCTTTCAGAGATTCCTTGGCTCTGTGGAAACCTGTTTGAATGCTTCTTAAATACAGTTTCAAAATTGAATTTAACATATTGTTGCAGGACAATGAAGCAGAGACTGCTGTGTGAATAGCAATTTGGTAATGCCTCACAATCATGATTTGGTCATAGGCAATAACAATGTACTTTTGTAATGATAGGTGGAGATTTTAAAACCAACAAAACTTTATATATAGGGGAGGCAAGATGGTGTAGTGATTATGGTTATAAGCTCTGGAACCAGACTGCCTGGGCTTTAACCCCTTCTCTGTTACTTCATAGCTGTGTGGGCAAGTTACTTAACTTCTCTGTGCCTCGTATTCTTTATTTTGAAAATGATGATCATAATAGTGCCTCCTATATAGATTTATATGAAATATTGGATGAAATACTTTATCTCAAGTGCTAAGAACAGTGTCTAGTACATAATAAATATTCAATAAATGTTAGTATTCATGGTTTAGTAACTTCATGCAAAACATAAGTTGGAGTATTATTTTAATGTATCATCTGGTGTGGTTTTTTATTCCAGTACTTTATTTTTGTCCCCTGGTCTTTCAAATCAGACAGTTAAGCACACATTGCCTTAGAGGAGGAATTCTAAGCAGAAAATACATTTTAGTTTAAAAATCCAGCATTTTACAATACCAAGAGCCTTGCCATTCCAGTTTCAAATGCCTAAATGCTAAAAGATCAAGGATATAATGTTCATGCTAGAAAGAGTTGTTTGGATGAATGCATAGTGATGGAGGAACCAGCTTTTCTGGCTCAGAGAGATAAATATTTTCTGGCTGGGAGAGCAAGATGTGACTAATTGATGTTTATGCTCAGATACCAGTTTGCATTCCCAAAATAAGGCCCTATGCCCAGCCCCCGGACATGGGAAGTTTAGGAGAGTAGAAAATAGAAACTGCAAGTAGTTGTTGAAATACAAGAAAAAAAAAAAAAAAAAAAAGCCTGTGTCTTACAGTCCATTGAAGGGACTGTAGGAAGAGGGAACAGTAAAACAGAGATGGATAGATACATGGGAATTTAGGCAGAAAGGCTTGGAGAATTTCCTTTCACCCAGCACAAGGGGAACACCAGCTCATCTTGTGGGCAATAATTGCACAAATTAATGACAGTGATGACTTGAGGGGAACACAGCCATTTTAGCAAATGCTAGCATAATAGATGGTTGTAATCAATGATTAGTAGTCCTGTCTTATAGCTTGGCATTTTCTGAACCCCCAGGAATGTAGATGCAATGCTAGAGATTGGGACAATTATGGGGTGTTGGGTTTGTGGGAGACTGACAGAGATTATGCGACATTTATTGAAAGTAAATTCTTATCTCTAGTTGGAATAGTAACATGAAATAAAACTAAAGTTCAGTTAAAAAAAATAGGTAAAAGTTACATTATTTACATATTTCTATCATGAAAAATAAAAATATAGAAAACATATAGGAAAAAATTACATTTCTTGCCTTTGCCCCCCCTAAACATACATACAGACCAAATGAAGGGATCCATGGGACTACTGCAGAGAAAAGTTCAGCTGCCTCTACCCTGCCTTATCATTTTATAGAAGGATGATGCCCAGAATAACATTCTTTTAAATACTCCCATGATTTGTAAGAAGGCCAAGGATTTCTGCCCACATGCATGAAAATAAGGCAATGAAGGAAAAAATTAAAGCCAGTGCTGGTTTTTAAAACATGCAGTTTATATATAAGTCTTGCAGAATTAAAATGAACCTCAACAAAATTCAAGGCAGTCAAATAATGTTCCTGAAAAGTGGTTACCCCTTGAGTTACATTTGTATTATTAACAGATGTGAATGTTTTTGGCAAGTGGATGCTGTCTAACATTTGTATTCTCAGCATTTTCTGTATTTATTTAAGGCAGTTTGTTTTCCCCAGTGATCCTGTGTCTTTGAGACCTCGCTCTTGACAGCAGTGGCTTTAGGAACAAGGTCCCAAGTTGCCAGGGATTGCTATTGTGTTGGAGCCATGCTGCTGCTTTTCCCTCCTCATAACTTGAACACGCTTTGTTATTTCTTGCATTTATAACCTCTAGTTCTGCTCCCACAAAACCAAAGTTCTTTGGTGGGTAAAAATTCAGCTACAACATCCCTGAAATAGCGATTAGACTGAAGCTTCCTTGGCTTTGTCCAAATCCAAACCCCATTTCTGTATTTTGTTTTCTGTCTTCAGGTGGTCAGGAGGCTCTTCTGTTATCTGTCTACCTACAGCCTGGTTTGGGGCATGGCAGCAGTGATGCTGTGCACAGCACAAGGTAAAGAAGCTCAATTCCCCTGCTTGGATTCCAGCAAACACAATTTCTGGAGTTAAGACATTTGGCCACTATTGTTTGTGTGATGCTAGTTCCATTTATCTGCATGAATTATTTAAACATTTAATCTGCTTGCAGGAATGGGAGTGGTTCTTTCTGCTTTCCACATTTTTGTTTTCAATGTAGAAGCACACTTTAATATTTAGAAGCTGTTTCCCGAGTAGATGAACCAGCTTATGAAAAATATCCTCTAAATTAAAATGCCATTTTTTACTTACTGAGTTGAAAAACTCTTACAAATAATGATTTCCTGTGTCTACAAAAATATGGGAAGGCTTGAATTCAGTCTTTTTGAAAGGTAATCTGGCAGTAAGCCTTAAAATTGGGTGTGTTCCCTTTTTACAGAAAAAAATGTAGAAAACAATGAAATGTGGAAGTTATACATGCTTATATTACCTATTGTATAACAAATGTGGCTATGCCATCTACTTATCTATGGAAGTTCCTAGCTCTTCCTCCTCGGTTCCTTGGGAGGTCACACTCACTTTGCTAATGGCCTTTTCATCACTTGCAGTGTGATGTTGCTCAGCATCAGCCTCCCCAGATGTGGGTGATGCTGGTGAAGATCAGGTGGGCTCTGGTCCATGAGATTCATCACAGGACTAATCAACTGAACAGAGGAATCTAAATGAGATGCTATAGAAGTAGCAAAGAATTGTAAACATCCCCTAAATTATGTCTTCCATAGTCAAAAAGAAAAAAGAAAAACTCATCCAAGAGTTGAACTCTAGTTTGAGTCCCCTTTCACTCTGCTTTCTAAAAGCAATCATTTCTTCAAACCTCTGCTCTGCAGAATCTCAACAAACTTTAAGGAAACCTCAATCCTAGCAACAGATATTGTTTCCCAGAACTTTTCACATCTTCCAAGAGTGTACATCATTTAGTGTTGAATTATGCAATACTCAGGGGTTCCAGCCTGTATTTGTTACACCGTCTTTCATTCACTGATATTGTTGGGGAGCTGTTTGCTCAACCTTCTTTTTTTTTCTCTATGTATATTTAGCAACATTTTATCTATATTATCAGTCTTTAAAAACAAGTTTGGATGCTTGTGATCAAGTTTACCTTTTCTGTACCATTGTATTAGTTAGTGCCTTTATCTTTATTAATTCACTGGGATTTTTGAAAGGGAGGATAGGAGGTTTGGAAGTAAGTGTATTCATTTTTCAATATCTCTTCTTTTCTATTAAATGTTGCTAGAATTAAATATGTTTCTCTGAGAACTGTCTTGCCCATTTCTTTCTTTTTTCTTTCTTTCCTTTTTTTTTTTTTTTTTTGAGACAGAATTTCACTCTGTCACCCAGGCTGGAGTGCAGTAGCACAATCTCAGCTCACTGCAACCTCCACCTCCAAGGTTCACGCAATTCTCCTGCATCAGCTTCCCAAGTAGCTGGGATTACTGGTGCCCTGCTACCACACCCAGCTAACTTTTGTATTTTTAGTAGAGATGGGGTTTCACCTTGCTGGCCAGGCTGGTCTCAAACTTCTAACCTCAAGTGATCTGCCCACCTTGACCTCCCAAGGTGCTGGGATTGACGGCGTGAGCCACTGTGCCCAGCCTGTCTTACCCATTTCTATAGATTTTTAACATGTTATGCACTCATTGTCATTCAGCTATAATAATTTATGATTTCTTCTATGATTTCTCATGTACCTAGGACTTAAAAGAAGTGTGTAGATTTCTATTTTTATTGTATTATGAACTGTGTTCAAGGCCATACATAGAGTAACAACTTTTTTGTAGCCTATTTTGAGTTCAGTTTGGAAGAATGTTCTATATGTGTTTTGAAAAGATTATACATCCTTTCCTTGAGTAAAGTGTGTGTGTTGCAGGGGTGCGGGAGGGGCTTATGTTATCTTTATTCATTTAGTATGAGTTATTGGGTTTATAGAGTTTATTATATCTCTTTCATTGTATTGACTTTCTCAAAAGTTTGGCTATTTGTTATTATGTTGAGATTTTCCATCAAATAATCTATCATAGTATGAGTTGCTAGTATTAGAGAATGGAAGAAATTTATATATATATATACACACATATATATGTATATATACACATGCAGAGAGATATCTACATACATATAAAGTATATAGTGTATATCTATATAAACATATAAAACATTTATAATATTAAATACCTGAAGTGTATATATAAATATATATTGTTTTTCAAATTTTATTTTCTTTATGATATGGTCTTACTTTGTCACCCAGGCTGGAGTATGATGATGTAATCATTGCTCACTCCAGCCTTGAACTCCTGGGCTTAGGCAATCTTCCTGTCCTAGGCTCCTGAGTAGTTAGAACTACAAGTACATGCCACCATGGCTGGCTAATTTTTACATTTTTTGTAGGGATAAGGGTCTCATACTGTTGCCAAGGCTGATCTTGAACTCCTGGCCCAAGTGATTCTTCTGCTTTGGCTTCCCAAAGCACTGGTATTACAGGCATAAGCCACTGTACCTGGAAGTTTTTGATATTTTCTATTTAACTTTTTTGCTTTAATAATTGTTTAAACATATGAAATTGAAGGTTCTCAATATGATTGTGGATTTAAAATTTTTTCTTTGTAATTATAGTTTTTTTTGCTTTATATATTTCAGAGCTATGTTGTTAGGTGCATAAAGGTTCATAATTAATAGAATAGATCTGATTTTAGTTTGTTCCTTTTATCATTTTGAAAAATACTTCTTCTCCTCTTATAGTGCTTTTGTCTTCCATTCCCTTTTTCCTCTCCTTTTAGAAGTCTTATTGGACTGATTTTGGAACATTTAAGTCTACTCATTGAATTTTTCCTTAATTCCTGTTGTATCATTATCTCTTTGTGCTACATTGTAGAAGAATTTTATGGCCTGGTCTTACTGTTTACTAATTTACTCCTCAGTGGCATCCATTTTGCTAAGCCAGCCAATCTATTGCAATTTTATATTTCTCATTTTTTACATCTCGAATTTCTATTTGTAATGCTTTAATTACACTTAGGATATCACATGTATTCATGTCAAAGTATTTATTGGCTTATATCTTTATTCATTTGGTATGAGTTATTGGGTTTGTACAGTTTATTATTTCTCTCTGTCATTGTGCTGGCCTTCTCAAAAGTTTGGCTATTTGTTACTATGTTGAGATTTTCCATCAAATAATCTATTATATTATGAGTTGCTAATATTGTAGAAGGGAAGAAATTATTGCCATAGCATTTAATGAAAGTGGAGGTGTGTAAATTATTATTTGTGTGTCAGAATTTCAAGATCCTCCAGAGCATTGTCCCATACATCTCTCTACCTATGTTCCTGTATACACTCTTGCTTCCTGGAGGCAGACACTTCTGTTCTACCTGCTTCCTTTGGAGAATGTGTATATGTGTGTGTTTGTGTGGAATCCATAAGGCTGCTTCATCTTCTTTACTTGAAGTGATCACCCTGCCTGTTATCCTTTCGCCTTTTCTGGCTCTTTGTTTCTACTTCTCCAAGCATGGACGTGCTTGGTGAAGCTGCTATCCTACCTGGCAGTTTACATCTTCAATCTCATTGTACCTTCTTTGCAACTTACAGAGGCTCTTCACAATTTCTTGTAACTGAGAGTTGCTTTCTTGTTTTTCTACTCTGCTGCTATTCTTTAAAGATTGAACAAACATATTTGAACTGTATATCTCTCTGGAACCATGTAGCAATGTAAATAAATGTTTTTTTCTTTGCATTTTCTCTATCTTTTTTATGTTTGACATTGAAAATACATTGTATTTGTAATCAGGAAAAAGTGTATGTGTGTTACAATCTTTAAATATAAATGTTCTTTTCTGATTCCATAGTGCAAGTGGTGACCCAGGATGAAAGAGAGCAGCTGAATACGCCTGCTTCCTTAAGATGCTCTCTGCAAACTACCTACGAAGTCCTGATTGTGACATGGCAGAAAAAGAAAGCTGTAAGCCCAGAAAACGTAGCCACCTTCAGCAACAGCTATGGGGTGGTGGTCCAGCCTGCCTACAAGGACAAGTTGAACATTACCGAGCTGGGACTCCAAAACTCAACCATCACCTTCTGGAATACCACCCTGGAGGATGAAGGGTGTTACATGTGTCTCTTCAATACCTTTGGTTATGGGAAGATCTCAGGAACAGCCTGCCTCACCCTCTATGGTGAGAGTCTCTGGAATACATTGTCTGTGTCTGGAAATACTATTTTCAAGAATGTTTGGAACAGGCATAGGGTCCAGTTTTTCAGGATTTTAACCACAGAAAGGGTCATGAGAAGATAGCTTTTCATGTCTACTATAGCTGTGTTTACAATTATTTGGAGAGTTCATGGGACTACACTGAGTTCTTTGACTGGAGCTATCTTATCTCTGAGGGATTCTGCCGTCAACAGGAGTAATTTGAGGACAATGGTGAGGGCAACAAGTTTTCCATTAGCAGTAATAACATTCAGACCTGGCTTTGCAACTAGCAATCATGTGACCGTAGAAGAGCCCTATTCACTCTGCACTGGAGTTTCATTGTCTGCACAATAAGTGTGAAATAGATCATTTCTAGGATCACTTACAACTTCAACTTTTTGGAACTAAGGATAGAGCCAGATTGGGCTAGCCTTGAGCCAGTACGATTGTCCTTCTCATTTTGCTTCAGGGTAACTCTTTCAGGATTGATAAGGGCACATAGAACATATCATTTCATACCTGAAATGATACCAACTAAAGATATACCTGGAGAATAAGCATTCTTTTAAAATCCAGGAGGCTTAGTTTAATGAGATTCCTTTCCTCTTAACTGACACACAGCTGAGATGAAAGATTAGGAAGTGGGAATAAGAGATAACTTTGGAGCATGGCACACATGGCGGTAGTTTTAGGGAGTAGAGGACAAACTTAGGGTTATTAGGAATACTGAAGGGAGAGTTTAGTCATGCCAAGAACATTGCCCACAGTGAAGAAGAGACTTAGTAGATAAGAATGCAAGGGAAATAGCTTAGTAGATGAGGATGCAAGGGAGATAGGACAACACCAGAAGAAATTTCTTGTATTTGCCTATGATGAGTCCTCTCTATAGAATCTTACGCCATTTCTTTCTTGATTTCCACTTCTTTCATTCTCTCTGTGTCTGTCTTTTTCTCTTACTCCTCCCTGTCTCCTTCCTTCCTTTCCTCCTCTCTGCCTTTCTTATGTCATATTTTTCTCATTTCTGTTCCTTTTTGCTCTCTTCCTCTTTTTCTTTCATCTTTTTTTCTCTTAGTCTCCTTCCTTCACTTATAGACTTTTTGCATTTTTTTTTCCAGAAAACCGGATGCCTCTGAGCTTTAAAGCTAGTAATTCTGTTCTCTTCCACCCCGATCTTTTCCAGCCACACCTTATAACTTTCATCTAAGCCATTCTTTGATACATCATAGGACCTCAACACTCAGTCTGGCCACAACCATATTCATATATTTTCAGTTTTATTTCTCTTCTTCCAGTTCTCACAGGCACTAGTAATCTGGGCACTCTTTAGTCAGAGCCACAGTTCCATAGCCCTACTTCCCCCAACCCACTGTCATCTACCTGCCTCTTGAACCTATAAGCACAGCCCAGGCTTTCAGTTAGCACTGGGATTTAACTATCTTGTGGGCTCCAAAGTCAAACACAGAAAGACAAGTCTACATTTGCTTAGAGAAGGAAAATTCTATAGTCCAACAAAAATGAACACACTAATCAGGGGATTTTCAAGAGGGTACAGGCTACAGCTAGCCTGAAAACAATTTTCTCATGTGCTAGTTATTTTCTCTTAGGTGATTTCCAATACTCTTCCAACAGACATTTTTACGGTTTTTAAGGTTATTAGCTATGAATTCCAAATTCACATTTTGTGTAGCTCTTTCAAAAAGGGATTTTTCACCTCTTCCCCATGTATCTAATTCACTGGTTCAGCTCCAAGAAGAAAATAACTATCTCTAGGCCGGGTGCGGTGCTCATGTCTGTAATCCCATCACTTTGGGAGGCTGAAGCGGGTGGATCACCTGAGGTCAGGAGTGCAAGGCCAGCCTGGCCAACATGGTGAAACCCCATCTCTACTAAAATACAAAAATTAGCCAGCCATGATGGCAGGTACCTGGAGTCCCAGCTACTTGGGAGGCTGAGACGGGAGAATCACTTGAACCCAGGAGAGGGTGATTGCAGTGAGCTGAGATGACACCACTGCACTCCAGCCTAGGCAGTGTGGCTGAGCAAGACTCTGTCTCTAAACAGTAGCCTTTCTATGGGCTCTCTGTTCTGAAACTGCCCTGGTGCTTCTGATAGATACAGGCCACATATATGGCAGTAAGTGGTGCTGGTTGGGATTATTATCAAGCCATTTAAGATGAATGCCTAGAAGAAGGCAGAGATGCCACAGTGCCCCCAGAAAAGAAGAACATAATAACTAGGCTTTGCACTGTTTGGGAGAGAAAAGTAACATCTGATTTCTCAAATCTCTATGCCCATCCAACTAATTTTGCTACAGACAAATTACAAAGAGGGTCTTTCTCATCACAGGTTTGTACTAGGCCAGTCTCCATTCTGCAGATCAGAGAATTAGAAACAAGAAGAATTGGAAAGTCCCCAGTTTGGGTAGGATATGCCACCCTATCTTTCTAGCCTCCGCCATCTTTCTGTAAGCATATTTCCCTCATCTCTCTGAGGAGACTGCAGGACTCAGACCAGGTGCTTAACTGATAACAGTTTGTATTTATTTTTTGTCCCAGTACAGCCCACAGTATCCCTTCACTACAAATTCTCTGAAGACCACCTAAACATCACTTGCTCTGCCACTGCCCGCCCAGCCCCCGTGATCTCCTGGAAGGTTCCTCGGTCAGGGATTGAAAATAGTACAGAGACTGTGTCTCACCCAAATGGGACCACATCTGTTACTAGCATCCTCCAGGTCAAAGACCCTACGAATCAGGTGGGGAAGGAGGTGATCTGCCAGGTGCTGCACCTGGGGACTGTGACCGACTTTAAACAAACCTTCAACAAAGGTAAGAGAAAGTGAGCAAGGTGGCTGTGGTTGTATCTGTGTGCACACACCTGGAAGGAGGTGAATATCCTACAAAGGTTTTCAGCCTCTTAGCATAAGAGCTATTTGGAGAAAGAATGGGGCAAATAAGGAAAAAATAAAAAACAGTTGAAAAAACAAATAAAGCAAGTGTTACTTTCATAAATGTGGTTCATTGCCCACACACCAAATGCTGTTGCTGAGATCCATTCATTTATTTATTTCTTCCATTCTATTACCATGTAATTAGGTCTTTTCTGGGCCAGATTTTGGGTTGAACATGAAAAATGCAACAATGAGCAAGACTCAGTCCCTAAGCTTCTCGTCTTAGGGAGTACAGATAAATGGATGGGCAATTGTAAAACTATGCATTCAATTCTCCAGAGAGAAAGCTATGATGCACCACGAAAGGACTGGAGGTTGGGAAGGAGGGGCTCAATCTGGGAGAGAGATTTGGAAGGTTTCCTGGAAGCAACATCTGTGATGAAACCACTGTGTAATCTACACTGTGAGAAAAGGACCTACCTGAAGTGCTTTCATCACCCATTTTAAAGCAAACTGCCTCTCATCCAAGTTCCTTTTTTACTCTCTTGTGTTTTTTATCTAAACTACTGTCTTTGGGCCTCATAGATACAAGAGGTGAGAATGATAGAGGAGAGAATAAAGGGAGCAGAGATTATAAAAACAAGAAGTTTTAGCAATAATAGCCAAATCTTTTCTCTATGTAGTTTTGAAGCACTGACTCTAGATGAAGCAGTCAGTAATAAGCCTTCTAAAAAATATTACTGCTCCTTTTTGGAGAAATTATGAGCAATAAAATGGAAAAACTTTCTACACACGTCTCTTTAGTGCAGTAGCCTCTAAGGCTCACCTACTCTAGGCATTTTTGGAGACCCTGAAAACTCAGACTAATCAGAAGTTGGATATTTACACAAATTTGGTCAGAAAGACTTGCAGTGTTGAATCTGGGTATTTGTGAAGAGATCTTCAGATTCAGCCATGGCAAAGGGTATATTTTCTTGAAAAACAAGAACCTAAAAAGAATGTCTTTTTTTCCCCCCAAGAATGCCAGATTTCACTTATATCACTTACAGTGTTTATATACTACTTATATAATGTTTGTTTATTCTGTGAACATTTACCAAAAATCTTCCACACTCAAAGCATTATGCTCAAAGCACTGGAACTGTAGAAATTAGACAAATCCCTGTCTAAAAGTCTGAAGGTGTTCAGTTAAATGATGTGGCAAAACCCATTATGGAAGTATGGAGAAGATGTTAAAGACTCCCAAATCAAAAAGTTCCTCGTCTGCCTTTGCATTGCAACATGACACTGAGGAGCTGATATTTAGGATGAGTTGCATTGATTGACTACTGGAAAGAGATTTAATAACAAAGCCATAGATAAGAAGACATTAATAAAAACTTTGAGATGAGTTATCTCTGGGGGTAGAAATGAGAATCTTTTTTTTTTCCTTTATACTTCTCTGTATTTTCCACAATTTCCTCAATAAACATATATTCTTTTAATAGACAGTATGGCAAAGAATATGTGCTTTAGAGGCAAACAGACTTTCAACCAAGACTTGATTATCCCATTTGCTATTCTGATTTTGATCTCAGTTAATGTTTCCAAGCCTCAGTTTTCTTTAAATCTGTTAGATAATAATAATATCTAACTCTTCGGATGTTTTGAGGATTAAGTGATATACATTGATACATTTAAAGCTCTTGTTACATAGTAGCCAAATAAAACATGTTAGCTATTGCTAATATCTAAATAGTATTAAAATGATATGAAGTCATGCATGTAAACCTCCATATGTATGTAGTTAACGACGATTTCAACTAAAAGCTCAACTCTATTGCTTTATCACTTTTTGCCTCAACAATTTCCTCTCGTGACATCACTTTTTTTTTCTTTCTTTCTTTCTTAAATATCTATAGGCTATTGGTTTTCAGTTCCACTATTGTTAAGCATTGTTTCCCTGGTAATTCTTCTGGTCCTGATCTCAATCTTACTGTACTGGAAACGTCACCGGAATCAGGACCGAGGTGAGTCGCCACAGGGTGTTAAAAGAAAAATGAGAGAAATTATATTTTTAATGACAATTTGTGGGTCATTTGAAGATATAAATAAGGGAATGGCAACAGTGTGTTTTGTTTGCTGTTTCCAAAATACAGACATGTTGATACTGTTTTAAAATGCGTCAGGGCATTCTCTTGCAATTGGATATTAAATTGAACATTTCTGTTTTTTGTTTGCTAAGACGACTTAAAAGCTAATGGAATCAAACAATGGTGATAGAACCAAAGAAAGAAGTCTGGCACTCATGCAGGATCCTTTCCACTCATCATGAGAAGGACTATCTCTTCTCCTTTTACAGCACTTCACAGGCCATCTGCCCATTTAAGAGGCTGAAATTGTCCAATTATGATCACTCATTAAGTAGCACTTTCTGTGTTCTACTCCCAGGATGCCTCAAACACTATCAGCATCATGCAAGTGATACATACTTACAGTAACTGTGTCATGTCATTCTGCCTTTTTAGACTATAAATTTCTCTTTATCTTTCACAACTATCACGACATCTTATATATACCAGGTGCTCAATAAATGTTAATTTATTGAATGAACTGATTGAGGACAGAGAGAATTTAAATTCACTTTCTCCTATTGTAAATTTAGTACCTCATAAATGCCAATCTAAGATACTGTAAGAAATTATAAAACGAGAGACACTATAAAGCAAGAGAAGCGAGTTAGACAAAGAGGAAGAATGAAATGTCTGGTTTCTGAAGACAGTGCATAATTTATTGAAGTGAATACAAAGCTGCAGTTTATGTTTTGTGTAACGGGAATTTGCTAGAGTGATGGGGTAAGGTGGGAGTTTCCTCCAATTCAGATGACTGCAGGATAGGGGACAGGAAAGAAACAAATGTTGGCTTTCATTGCTATTTTAGACTTTGATTAAAAGTCTCACTCAAATATAACCTTTTTTCCTTTCATTTCATGTTCTATATAAATGTTTTCTTTCATTTTATGTTTATATTTTTATGTTTTTGTTCATGTTTCAAGTTTTTGACCACTTTATTTTGCATAGTCCTCCAGATTAATTCTTGTGAATTTATAAAACACACAAAAAGCCTTCAGTGTCAGTGGCCCTTTTGCAAAAGTAGGTAAAGGTATTTGTTCTGTCCTGAAGAGGAGATTACAGATCAGTTAATCTTATTGCACATAATTATAAGCCCATAGAACTCATAAGTGCTCCACAAAATAAAATCAAAGGCAGAAGTGTTTGATTCTACTTTATCCCAACATTTTTCTTTTCCAATTAGGAAACAAGCCCAGAGAGGGAAGTTGACTTTCTTCCGTAAGTTCATACAGCTTCTTAAGAGCAGGCTAGGACTAAACCATAGTGCCCTGGCCTCTGCCAAATGTTCTTCCTGTCATTACTGATGCCCTAGTGTCTTGACTTGAAAGAAGCTATTGTTGTCAATTGCATTCACTTAATCTGTGCATAATGGTAATGCCCTTTTCTTTTGGAAAGTGCCAGCAGAAAAGCATCAAGTGTTTAAATTCATTTTTAAAAGTCCCTGTTGGGCAAAAGTCTTATAATGCAATCTACTCAAGCCACAGGTAAATTCTACTGGAAAGATACATGTAAAATAATTACCCTTGTTCATTAAACAAGTCTTGGATTTTCTGGGAAATATAATCATTCAATGCTAATATCTGATTCTTGAAGCAAAAAGAATCAGCTTATTTCTCTGCCCAAGTTTTCCCTCATTTATGAAATAAATACCTGAACCTATGTTGACTTTTCCATTTGTTTTGCTTATAAAAGATACCTGAGTCTGGGTAACTCATAAAGAAAAGAGGTTTATTTGGCTTCTGAAGGCTATACAAGAAGCACAGTGCCAACATCTGCATCTGGTGAGGGCCTCAACCTGCCTCCACTCATGGCAGAAGGAAAAGGGGAGCCAGTGTGTGCAGAGATCAAATGGCGAGACAGGAAAACAAAAGAGGGTGCTGCAAGGCTCTTTTACCAGCTCTCATGGAACTAACAGAGAGAGATCTCACTCACCCCAAGGGCATTAATCAGTTCTTAAGGGATCTGCTGCCTTAAACCCCTCCCACTGGCCCCTACCCCTAACATTGGGGATCAGATTTCAACATGAGGTTTGTAGGGTCAAGTATCCAAACTATAAGAACCAATTTAGAATTTTTTTTTTTTTTTTTTTTTTTTGAGACAGAGTCTTGCTCTGTCACCCAGGCTGGAGGGCAGTGAGTGGCACGATCTTGACTTATTGCAGCTTCCACCTCCCGAGTTTGAGCGATTCTCCTGCCATAGCCTCCGGAGTAACTGGGATTACAGGCATGCGTCACCATGCCTGGCTTTTTTTTTTTTTTTTTTAAGTAGAGATGGGGTTTCTCCATGTTGGTCAGGCTAGTCTTGAACTCCTGACCTCAGGTGATCCACTTGCCTTGGCCTCCCAGAGTGCTGGGATTATAGGCATGAGCCACTGCGCCCACGCCCCGATTTCGAAAATTTTAATAGCCAGATAATTTGGCTTCATATACTTACAGCTAGTAAAACCGAGTGCCGAATATGCTGAAGCCTAAATGCTCAGGGCTAAGCAAATACTGGTTCATTTAGGCCAAATCTTGGGTTATACAAAAAGGTGGGAGAAAGAAAAGAAAAAGGAAAGAATATCTGACTTTTTATTTCTACAATTAACGAATTCTGGTTGATATTTCGTGAGGAAGGGGAATAGTCCTACACATTTGCCTTCCATTTGTTTCCATCCTTACTTTTGTTTTCTTTCTATTTTACTTTACATCATCTTCTGAAAACATAAAACTTCCGAATGGGCAAAAAAAACATGATCGGTCAAAAATAACACAAGGGTTTTGAACTTGGTAACCTCAAAAATGGTGATGGGAACAGAAATAGGAAAGTGAAGAGGTGGAACTGAGAGAGAGAGAGCTAGCAAGAGACAGAGTGTGTATTTACAGTTTATAGAAAAGTAAAGGAGTCAAATGAATCAGTTCTTGAATTTACTGTGACAGACAAGGAATTATTTTCATGTAGCTGTCCAGAAGCCAATAACAAAAATCTGGCAAGTAAGGTAAGTCTGTTAAGTAAAGTAAATTCTGTGCTGGATAAATGACCAAAAGAAAAGTTTTTCAAGTCATAATCACTACTCGTTTCTCACAAATGTGTAAGCAAACTTATAGTTACTGATGTTATTTTTACATAGAAATTAGACTCCCATTACTTTTCTTGTGATGCTGTGTAATGTTGGAGAGCACGGTGTTGGTGTTTTCCATCTGTAAAGCAGCACGGGCCCTTTCTCTGCACCATTCCTGATAGAATTATCACAGTTACTTCTCAGGAGACTACCACAGTAAGACTAATAAGATCTCAAAGAATATTCTTTTCTCTTTCATGAATCCAGTACTTTAAAACAGAAAGTGAGAAAGAATTAAAATTTCCTAGGGAAATATTCCACCATCTCGAAATAGTTCTTTCTATTAAAACCCAGTGATTTCATAAAGTTGTCCCTTCCACATATATGACAATGTAGTCAAATTTGGAGTTGAGGATAATCTTTTATTTCTTATTAGTCAACCCACCAACAATTACATGCCTCTCAGAAACTCTAAAATAAACTTCACTTTGAGGCAGACTATCATAGACAATCACCTAATTTTTAAGTCAGCTCTATTTTGAGAGGCCATTTTGTTTGGTTTGGTTTTGTTTGGTTGAGTCAAGCCTGCTTTGGAGAACAATAGAAAATTTAGACAATCATGTAAAATTTATATGCCAAACTTGACTCTTTTTTTTTTCGAGTACTAGCTAATCCATGTAGAAGTATGTTTTTCATTTGCATGAGCTGCATATTTACCTTGATTTCCTTCTCTTCACGATAACCTAACCTATTATTATACATTGCCAGGAACCCGAATCCTCAGATGATATACCCATTCCCTTGGTTTTTGGCCATGGGGCTGTTTTAAGGAGATTAGCTGTCAGTATCTGTTAGACTAATTAATGAAAAACAAAAAGGATGAGAAAATCATCCAGCTGAACAATCCTCTAACATCTCTGCTCCTTTTGCATTTTAGCTTGCATACATCCTTTACCTAGTGTCTATTACCAGTTTGTTTTTGTTTGGAACTGTCATGCATTTAAGTAGTAGAGTCACACCCATACACTAAGCTTGCCTCTAAACAGATCCAAGAACTTAGCCTCTACTAACAAAAGAAGCCAACTGTATGCTCTTTAACCTGGAAAAGATTGGGCCACTTAATGAAAGTACTCAACTTGGCTTACAGAGGGGGAAACATCCTAAATGCTGTATTAATTTTCTATTGCTTCTTTACCAAATTATCACAAACTTAGTTGCTTAAAACAACACACATGTATTATACTACAGTTCTGGCGATCAGAAGGCCAGCATGGGTTTAAAACAAGGTATCTGCAGGGCTACTATCATTTCTGGAGGCTCTAGGAATCTTTTTTTCCTCTCTCTGTTCTCATGCTTTTAGTGACTGCCCATATTCCTTGCCTCGCATCTTCAAAGCCAACAATGTCCAGTTGAGTCTTTTTCACATTGAATCATAAATCTGACATGTTTGTCTCCTTTTTCCCTTATAAGTACCCTTGTATTATATTGGGCCCAACTACATAATCCATCTCAGGGTCCTTAATTTAATCACATCAGCAAAATCCCTTTTGCCATGTAAAATAACATATTCACAGATTCCTTGAATTAGGATGTGGATGTCTTTGGGCTGCCATTATTATGCCTACCACAAATGCTAACAGGATGTGAGAGTGAGTTGCTTAGAGAGACAACTGTTTACTGACCTGCCAGTGTAAGTATTTTCTCTCTACAATTCCACAGCCTTGGCTCTGTTCCTGGCAACTCTCTATCAAAGACTTCAAAACCTGGTCAGAGCCTCTGACCAGGCAAGGCTTTATTTTCTACTATTATATGTTGTCTCTCAAACCTATAATGCAAAAGAATCACTTCTGCTTTGTCATGCTTTCTATCACTAACCGTAATATTACAAAATCTATTACTAACCATAATATTACAAAAACTTTTTTTTATTAGAATCTCAGTTCTTGCATATTTCCCGCTTCTCCCTATTTCCACCTTTTCATGGAGGAAGCAATTCTGACTTCCTTTTTCTTAGTCATAAGCATGACATAGACACAAGTTCACAGGTTAACTGTTAAAGATCAAAGTGGGAAAATTCTATTCATCGCTATGTGTAGTGATAATAGGCATAACCAAATTGGTCTTTCCTCATTTATCATAACTTACTAAACTGGGAATTTCTCAGCACCTGATACTTGCAGAGTCATGTTATGAAGTCATTATAGACTTTAGAAGCCTCAATACTTTTCATATCATTTTCAGAATTCTTCAAAATTCCCATTTATAGGCCCTAATTGATTCCAATGGCCCATATGCAGTAGAGCGGTTATTCCACTAACAACTTTTTTAAAAGACAGAGATAAAATATGTATATATTTGATGAAGTAGATTAAGTAGAAAAAAATGTTAGAAATGTCAGAAAAAAATTAAGAAATAAAAGTGTTCAGTACAATTTAATTTGAATGATTTTAATCTCTAAAACTAACCATATTGTAAAAAAAAATGCAGTTTCTTCTAGTAAATAACGAACAAATGAGACTCTGTGCTACAAACATGCAAGACATGTTTTGCAGAAATCATTTCAATGTTAAGTTCCACATTTCATGAGGCACAATTACGGAAATTTATGAATGAGAGACTGTCAAAAGAAAGCCTCTTGACCTTCTCTGTATTCAAACTAGAATTTCATGATGACTGACCAGTGCTTCCAGTTCTGAGTCTCTGTGGACACTAGTTTGTAAATTCTCCAACCTTCTCCCATTTTTATACAATGAAGAAAAATGGTTGCCTTGTATTTTGAAAGTCCTTTAAAGAGTTCACATTAAATACCTTTGGGACGGTGTACACAATTTTCTTTTAATATTTTTTTAAAATGATTACTTATTATGAATTTTTATTGTTATTTTTTTAACTGAAAGTAGAAATTGTATGTATTTATGGTGCATGACATGATATTTGTATATATTGTGGAATGTATACAATTGTGGAATGGCTAAATGAAGCTACTTACATGTGCATTGCCTCACATGTTCTTTTGGTGGTATGAACACATAAAATCTATTCTGCCAGTAATATTCAAGTATATAATACATTGTTATTAACCATAGTCACCTTGTTGTATGATAGATCTCTTGAAGTTATTAATCCTACCTAACTGAAATTCTTTTCATCTTAACAAAGGATGCATGAAATAATTGAGAAACTGAGTGTGATATTTATTTCTACAGTATTTCTCCTTCAATAGTTTAACATTTTCAACTGTTAATTCTGGCAAGGATGCTTGTAAATGACATATAGAGTTGGTTGTTTTCTAGTCAGTCATTTTTATTTGTACCAATGAACCATTACTTAGTGATTTTGATCAAATCCTCTCTCTTACAAATTAGCTCTGTACCTTTGGGCAAGCCATTTAACTTCCCTGCACCTCCCTTTCCTCATTAAGATGGGGATAATAATTCTAACTGTATCTCATAAAAATGTTGTGAAGATTTAAAGGGGAACACATGCAAGTGCTTAGAAAAGTGCCTGAAATGAATGATATGCTAGAACACTGGCTTGGGAGGAGAAGGGTGGAGTGCTTATTTGTAGCTTTTGCTAATTTCTGTGAAGTAAATGTTCCCACCATGGCAGATTTCACGCTACTATTTAAACATCAGCATGAGCCAATAGAGCTCTAGCACACCAATGTGGCAGAGTAAGTTTCTAATAAATGTTCAGTTTTGTAATTACTAAACCTAAGGTCCTTTTTAGTTTTATCAATGCACATTTTCATGAATTTTACAAATGTTGAAGGAGGGGCAAGTTTAGAGAGGTAAATGGAGGGAAAAATTTAAGAATTGCAGCAGTTAGGAAAACTTTGAGGAAGATTTAAGAAGTTATCTGAATCTGTTTGGACACATGGGCATAAGTATTTGGAAGGGAGAATACATTAAGTCTTACTGTCGTTAATAGGCTCTTGGCAACTGTGAGTTTAAGCAAAATGACATGTAACAAAACAAATTTTGCCATAGGCTAAATGATGGAAACAAGACTTAAGTTCCTATGGCATATTTCTGGTCACAGAATTTCCCCAAACTTTTAATAAAGACCA